GTGTGTGTGTGTGTGTGTGTGTGTGTGTGTGTGTGTGTGTGTGTGTGATGTCATCCCCCTCTGCCGGGTCTAATCTGTAATAAACTCGCCGCAGGAACCCCTGTCCTCCCACAAGAGACAAACACACACAAACTGCAGCACGCCACTTATTTCGGACGTCAGCTCAAAGAACGACACATCTGGGACTCTGTGAAGGAGGATTTGTGTCTGCATAATCTTCTATTTGCATTTGAAATAAAACATTTAATACAAAATGCTCACATTACTCACACATTCAGGACCAATATTAACACAACGCGAGAATCGCAATCACTTAGAAATAAAACCATGAACACAGGAGAACACATGACAAAAGATGCGTAAATGTCAGAGTGTGTGTGAGCGTGTACATGTGTGTGAGTGTGTGAGTGTGTATGTCAGGCTGGGTACGTACCCTAAGGTGCCCTGGCCTGCCCTCGGAGGGCTGGGCGGTTTCTGGGTGGGGGGGTTGGACCGGGACAGGCCCACTCCTAGTTTCATGTTCTGCTGGCCATTCACCTGAGGAAAATACATATTTGAGCACGATCCTAATGTCTTTCAAACTACCACATAGGTTTTTATTTGTTTTTTTAAATGACTAGGCAGTACACACTTCAACTAGCAACCAACTGGATCAATCATTCCCTTTGTTCATTACTGGCATTTCTTTATGTAGCTTTACTATGGCTATTTTTCCTCCTTCAGTTACACACGAGATCTATTGTCCTGGTATTATATACAGATGTGTTGTGCATCCTTACCTTGAACCTCAACAACCACTGAATGCATCAATGAAAGCAAAAGGGAACAGGAGGAAGAAGAGGGGAGAGCAGTTGTCTAGAGGTTAGTGTCGGTGCAACAGCATCATGCAAACATTAAAAACAGACGCAGATAAAGACGAAGCACAGGCAGATAGAAAGAGATAAAGAGTCAGAGGGAAATGATACCATGCAGCTCTAACAGTGAGGACAAGAAAGACATGTTAAGTTGCACTTAAATAAATCAGAATGACTAGATAATCAATTCCACTTCTACACAGAGGCATTTTACACGACTGCAAAGGCATACTCTACATATTCTGTGAGACAAACACAGACGCTAAACTACACTGCACGCAAGCAAGCAAGCAAGTGTGGGATTCCTTCAACTTTGAGCTGGTTAGTTTTTACTCATCTTCTTCTTAATGTTGCACTTTGTTTTCATGGCTGCATTTCTGTCTTTTGCTGTCTCGTTGCTCTGTGTGGCACATCTGTTAAACGTACCACACCGACTAAAAATATCTGTTCTTGTGCTGAAAACATGTATAAGTATCATTTTCATCATCATTGTTTTCATTATTATTCCCACCTTGACTCCATGTCCAATGTCATCTAGCACGTTGTAGTCGATGGGCTTCCTGATGAAGCGCACCGGTCTCTCTGGATTGGCCGGAGCAACTATTTTATGTGAGCGGGACGTGTTCTTATTGGTGGTCAAGATGCCGATCTCCCGCCTCGCCACCTTCTCTTTGTGAATGTCAACAGTCTGTAAAAGAATGGATTCAATAAAAAACAGAGAAAATTCAAATATGTGATTTATCCAACCGGAAATCACATGATTGTCACAATCCTGTTTACGGTAACAACAAGAATCTACAGCCAAGCTAGCAGCTCTGTGAGGCTGTGGTCAGACACAGCGGTGCTTTGAGCTAAATACTGACTGACTGCTAACATGCTAATGTGCAGCAGGTATGTTTATCAGGTTGGTTTTATTATGCTAACATTAGCTAATTAGCAGTAAACACAGAGTACAGCTCAGGCTGATGGTAAATGTCATTATTCTTGCAGGTATTTGGTCATAAATCAAAGTAATGGACAAATTAAAATGTCGAAACATGAATGTCTGACCATCATTTCTACAAACATAACTTTGATCAAATGAAACGAAGGTGAGCTTTTTAGTGTGACCTCTCTACTGGAAAATTACATCTTTAAGGTGCTCAAACATTTCTCAACAGCCGAGAAATTACGGCCACATAAAGGATGACATTTTGGTACGAATGGTTTCTGAACGTTTCCTGAGAGACACAGCTCTGATTCCCTTTTGATACACGCTTGTTGTGCCATTGAAGTGACGTTTGAGACCAGCTTTGATTAAAAAATGTGCTGCATGTAACTATCAACTTCACTATAGTAAATATATTGCTTCTTACGGTTTCATATTGTCAAAACTGAAACTCTAAATTAGTTTCAGGAGCCCACACGTTCCCTGTAGTGAAGTCTTTACAGTACAAATGTATTCACTGTGATAAACGACAGAGAGAGTGAATCTTCACATTTGACACTGGTTCTGTGCTCTCACACCAGATATTTTTGGTGCTATACATTTTAATATGTATGAAAAGCTGCTTTTTTTTAGGTCTCGAGTCAGAACAAGTGTTAATTGCATTTTCAGTGGTGCATTATAAATTATTCATTTAGTGAAAGATTCTTCTCTTCTAAGATTTATATCAATACATAACTTTCAAAAAACTAATGTGTGTTTACATGTTGCAATCAGTTGATATAGCTTTTTGTCTTTAGTTAAGACAAAAAGCTATTACTCAAGTGAGATAAGGAAGGTGACAGTTCTGAAACAGTCACCATCACGATAGTTTTTACATTCAAAGCAGGGAATTCCAGCTGTGAAAACATCTATATTAGTAGATTATTATACTTAAAAATCATTACATACAGGAATACCAACATCGATGGGGGGCAAGGTGGCCACTACGTTTAAATCAAACATTTAAAGACACATCCTGCACACATACAGTATGTCCCCTCCATCTTACACATTGTTGGCTGATTTCTACAGCATGAAATGCTAAATGGATTATATAAGCTCATCTCAGTTTTAGTCTTATGAGAGGGAGCCTCATGGCACCGAAACGTTCGCCTACATAACAGATGCGACTGTGTCTCACTGAACTGAAAGCAGTAATTATGACGTGAAATCACATTCCTGGCTTAACATAACACAGAGAAGCATCTCATTATTTCTGCATGCAAAGCTTATTCTCATTATACTGAATATTCAGAGGTCTGAGGAGGAGAATGGATCCTCTGTACCACTGAAAACCACAGTTGTATTCCTTCAAGTACTACTCCGTATAGGGACGGTTGTGTATTTCAATGTTTAATAAATGAAAATTCTTCTTTTCCTACAGTCGGTGTTAAATAATGAATCTCGACACAGAGTGCACTGAGCAACGTGTCGGCTGACTTTGTATGGATGATGTGTGAGTTTTTCTAGGAATATCAATGCGGTGTTATTGAAGTATACCAATGACAACAGATTTGAGAGAGCGTCGATACGCAGTGTGGGTGCAGAGTGTTGTGTAATCAGACCACTGGTGATGCTTCACACCTACAGATGGTTTTATTCGTCCGCGCAACTGACAAACATGAAGAAGAGTCTTGTTTTTCTTTGTCTTCTTAGACTGTCTCCTTCAACATACTGAAGCAAACTGTAAATGTACTCAACTAGCTGTATGTTAACATGCAAACTGGTGTCCTGGTTTATAGCCTTATCCTCGTTTTCATTATATTCGTTCATTGAGAAACCTGCTTATTCATCCTTCTGTCGACATGCTTCTAATAGTATCTCAGTGTTAAAATGGTCCGTGTCAAATTAAAAGTGTTTTTGACTCCACATCCATCTGACAATTTGCAGATTTTAATTTTAACTTACATAATTAGCTGCTCCTGAAAGCTTTAAACCAGTGACCGTTGATTTCACTGGCTATAACGACAGCTGTCACCAGCAAATGTATTCAGCTATAGTTCATTAACACTCATGCCGGCCAAGAAATAACTTAGTTCATAACCCCAATGAAATACATACATCAACCTCTCATGTGTGCAGAATGCAGAGTGGAAAACTATAAATACATATTTTTGCACCCTAGCCGATTTTCGCTGTTAATATTCCTCCGCAGTTTATCACTGTTGCATGCTTTGGGATTTTGTAAGTGCAATATCCTCCTGAGATGCTACACTCGGCATGACGCGAAGAACATAAGTGAGACTGCATGCATACATGATTATACATATTGTGTGTGCTTTCATGAGTACTCTCACTGTGAATAACAGACCTACACTGTGTCCGTGCCAGTGATTCGTGCATGCTGACATACATATCTAAGGTTTAAAAAGAAAGTTGTTTATCAATGACACAATATTCTTCAGCATCAGTGGGCCTGTAGACACCTGTGATCAAGGCAATGTGGGCGGGTGAAATTAAAATGAGATTTCTTATTTGTCTATGAAGTGTTGATGGTGGGAAGAAATCCTGATTTCCAATTTATCATAAAGAAGAAAAACTGATTTTTAGACTGACTGCGATTTTTAGAATTTCTATAACCGAGGGGTTTGGAGAAGTCTCTGTGCAGTATCAAAATAAATCAAAATGAACCAAAGCTGAGGGTCCTCTTGTGTTCCCACCAGACCTGTGAAATGTGGTTGATGGAGCTTTCCATGCGGCGGAGCTGCGAGGCCTGGATGTCCAGCATCTGCAGCACATTGTTGGCCAGCGTGTTGATGAGGTAGGCGACGCTGGCCAGAGACTGGGTGGTGTAGCTCTTTGTCTCCTCCAGGGCTCGCTCCTTGTCTGCTGACTGCAGGGAGAGGGGAGACAGATTTAGGACGGGGTCACACCGGTGCCACCATTTTATTCTCATAGACGCAGAAGAAGAAACAGTAGTGGCAGACAATCAATACAAGGGATGAAGTACACACATGAGCAAAACCAAGACCCAACATGCTACTTGTATTTTTCTTAAGCTTATTGTTGTCTTTATGTATCAACAGTGCATATTGGGGGTTACCCATAATCCCCTGGGAACAGGGGATTATTAATTGTTTTGCACACTGGCATAATAGCACTATATATATACACTATATAAAAGTATTAGTGCATCGAATTAGAACATTAATTTACTCAGAGAAGAATTTATTCAACAAAAGAAACAAATGCACATTCACTTACTAACCCTAATTAATCCACTTTAACGTCTTAGTCACTATATGATATCCATGTTTGGCTAAAGGAAACAATCAGAACGGCAAAGCGATCTGAAAATGAGCATCAGTATGTGTGTAACCAAATGTGAGTTGTTCATTTATGTCTGCAACATGTATACTGTACGAGTACATAATACAGCAGGGACAGTATAAAAAGACACTGATATATGTGTGTGTGTGTGCTGGAGCAAGATGTAGGTCAGGTCTAATTCATTCATGCCCGAGGTTGACAAGAAACACACTGACACCAATGTGTGTCTGTCTCTGACACACACACACACACACACACACACACAAACCACAACACAAACGGATAACTTTCACCTCTAATGTGTAGATATATTTTTAAAGAGGTCCAGGTCAGATATAGTGGGACTCCTTATGTAGAGACAGGGCCTCCACACACACACACACACACACCCTTACTTTCCCTTCCACTACTCCCTCTTCATCACATCCTCCTCATTACATCTCTTATTTTCTCTCTCTCTTTCCCATCAGCCATCTGATGTCCTATTAGTGGTGACCTAGTTGGAGGGGGGGCCTCTCTGGCCTCAGGACAGCGCAGAGCATCTCACACACACACACACACACACACACACACACACACACACACACACACAC